ATATAGTACTCTAATACCATTACCAAGCTGATATTTCTAATTTCTAAATTAAACAGGAAAATGGTGTGTGTGTGGGGGGGGATTACAAAGCATGTTGAAATACTAATATGTCAGCAGAAATACCAAAAAAGTCAATAGGACAATGTGGGAATTATTTCACAATAAACAGGGCATCAAAGGTCACTTTATATGTTAATTTGACATACCTTAAAGAGGGATTCCAGAATATTAATGTGATTTTATGCACAACATTTAAAGGTCAGAGTGAAATGAATTTGGGCATGGAAGTATTTAATTTAATGAACATATGCACTTTTGTCAGCCTCGAAACCAGTTTCAGTGATAGCAATGAGTATTTTTTTTTTAAAAAAAAAGTTAAATAAAAGGTTTTGTTTTTGTTTTTAAAAAAATGTCCTCCTCTTTCCTTCCACATACACACAAGCCAAAACTAATAAGAGCAGCCTTTTCAAATCTGGTGTGGTCCAGATTGCATTGGACTATAGTTCACAACATCCCCAGGTATTGGAGACTCATGTCTAAGGATAGGTTGGGGTTGTATTCCAGCACAGGCAGAACATCAATTTTTTTTGGGGGGGGGGGGCTGGGAATTATGATTAACAGGAGAGATTATCATATGACATTTCCAAAGAAAAAATATATAGCTCAAATTTATATTATAATTTATTTGTATTTGGATTAATACTTTCTAAAATGCTGGAAAGACAGTGAAATGACAACTATCCCAATCTGATTATTTTGTTAAAGATAATTGATCTGCTAGAGAGCAAAGGCATCTGATCAAATCAGAAGATTTCATGATATTGTTGCCTTAGGGTCACCGTAAGTTGGAAACAACTTGGAGTGAAATAACAGTGAATCTGCTAATAGGGAATATATTTTCATTGGGAAGAAGAAAGAGCATTAAAGGAATAAGAAGGGAAAGAGGGTGATTGACAGTGTGATAATCATTTTCTCCTCATCAATATATTTAACTGAAAATTTTACATACCAGTTTTTCAAAGTTAACAAGGTTATCCAGAAATGTTTTATTTCCTTCATGTATAAATGTTACATCTAAAAAGCAAATAAAAATTTTAATCACATTTCACTTTGGAAGATTAGATGAGGACAATAATAAAATACATTAGTTAATATTATCAGGTCTACTTTCCTTTTCCTTCTATGTATAAGAAATGGAAAAGCCCCATCTTTTGAAGCAATGGGGTGGGAGCAGGAATTGGAATGCAAATGAGGAAGTCCATGGTTTATAAAATGATGCAACTATATTAAACATATCACTTTTAAAATATGATTGATGTGTTATTACATTTCTTGCTAAACATTTCTCACCGAAACTCAAATTTCATAAACTTCTGCTATTTTACTTCAGAGAGCTTCTTCCATCCTGACATAGTTCTCATGGCCCTCTTATCTATCACTCAGATAGGTCTGAGGAGACTTCTACAAAAACTAGACAAGGCTTGCAGTCAGGAGAACTTGGTTATTAACCATTCCAAAACTAAAGTAGTGGTTTTCTTTAAAAGGAAGTACCCCCATAAATGGTACTTAGATGGTCACCTGATCGAGCAATGTTATAGTTTCAAATACTTGGGTGTACATTTTTTCTATAATGGAAATTGGAAATGCCATTTAGAGGCAGCAAAACCTTTCACTTTGGAAGGGTCAGGGGAAGTTCCCTGGTAGGCCCCATTCCAAAAGTGGTTTTGTCCAAAGTCCTGCCCCAATTACTATATGGAGTAGAGCTATGGGGACAGGTCCATGTTGCTGCAGCCAAAACTATACAGAACAGATTCTTGAAAAAACTGTTAGCTCTTCCTCCAGGAGTGCCCTTTTCATTGTTAAGGCTGGAAGTGGACCTCCCTTCTATTAAGGCTAGAATCCACAAAACAGTTATTCTTTATGGGAAAAGATTGATCTTGGATGATTGCAGTTTAGCAAAACAAACTTGCTAAGGGAGGATGGGCCCACTTTTGGACAACATTGTCCCTTTCCTATTTTGAAAATGTCCAGACCTCTATCATTCACAAGGACAAATACTCTATTAGAGACAGGATTTTTGAGTTGGATTACTCTGAAAATATGCTTGCCAGTCAACAGCAAGTTTTCTTTCCATGGTACAGCCTTATAAAGAGGGAACAATATTTACAACAGTATTTCCAAGACTTAACTTTTGTTGCTCTGAGAAAGGACTTTACTGCCCTCCGTTTTCAGACTATGCCTTCAGCTCATTTAGAGGGAAGGTATAAAGGGATCCCTTACACACAGCGTTGTGTATTTGTGGTTCTGGGGAGGTGGAAAACCTAGTGCATTATCTTTTTTACACAGCCCACTATATATGGACGAGACTTTTTGAAAGCAAGGGCAGGTTGGACGCTGCCTAATATTATTTGTGATCTGTTGGCAGACCACTCCAAATCTATTACACTTAAGGTGGCCACCTTCGCAGTAGCAACCCAAAAGATCCACTGCAAATTTCTGAAAACATCAGCAGTGGACTGGAAAGGGGACCAGTTGTTGTAGCCCTACTGTTGCCCTGGCATTTTTCCCTGTAATTTCAGTTTATTTTAGTCCTGTATTTCCCTTGTATTTTGTAGATACTTTCCTGGTAAGCATGTTGGCTGTATTATTATAGTTTTCCTGCAGTGCTTTTGTAATGTTTTGTAATGAATGTTGTGCCACAGACAAATAAACTTGATGATGATGACATAGTTCAGATTTTTTAGAAGATCATAGAAACATAGAGCTGGAAGAGACTGCAAGGACCATGCAGGAATATAGAATCACAGCACTCCCAACAAACCTCCACCACTCTCCAAGGCAGCATATATTCCGCTGTTGAACAGCTCATACCATTAGGAAGTTCTTCCTATGTTCAGATAGAATGCTTTTTCCTGTAGTTTGATGTAGTTTGAATCCATTGCTCCGTGTTCTAATCTAGTTCATGTCACCCCTTCTCTTCTCTAGGTTAAACATACCAAACTCTCTAAGCCTCTCCTCATAAAGCATGGTTTCCAGAGCTTTCACTATTTTGGTTTCCCTCCTCTGGACATGTTCCAGCTTGTCAATATCCCTCTTAAATTGTGATGCCCAGAACTGGACACCATATTCCAGGTGAGGCCAGACCAAAGCAGAATAGAGTGGTACTATTACTTCCTTTAATCTAAACACTATACTCCTATTGATTCAGCCTAGAATTACATTGCCTTTCTTAGTTGCTGCATCACTTTGCTGACTCATGTTCAGTTTGAGAGTGCTTTAACTGCCTTGGCTCAGTGCTAAGGAATCTTGGGAATTGTAGTTTATTTTGGCACCGGAGCTCTCTGACCGGCTTAGTAACGGAGATGAGCACCACCCCCTACAGTTGGTTACAACTAGACATTCATGTCAAGGGACTACTTTTACTTTTACCTTTACAGTGATTATTAGTAATCATGGCATTCCTTTTTATGTGCTTATAGACTGTCTGCCTAATGACCTGCTCTAGAATCTTTCCTGGTATTGCTGTCAGGCTGACTGGGCAGTAATTATTTGGGTCCTCTTTTTCCCTTTTTTAAAGACGGGGCAACATTTGCCCTCCTCCAGTATGCTGGGACCTCTCCTGTTCTCCAGGAATTCTCAAAGCTTATTGCCAGTGGTTCTGAGATTACTTCTGCCAGTTCTTTAATACCCTTGGATGTAGTTCATCTGGCCTTGGAGACGTGAATTTGTTTAGAGTAGCCAGACATTCCTATACTATCTCTTTATCTATTCTGTGCTGAATTTACCCTACTGCATCATCTGCTCCATTTTCCCCAGGTTGAACACTGTTCTTCTTTTCAGAGATGACAGAGGCAAAAAATCCATTGAGTCGTTCTGCTTTTTGCTATTCTCTGTTAGCATTTTGCTACCTTCTCCACACAGCAGCCCTACCATTTCCTTGTTTTTTCTTTTGTTACAAGCATAACCAAAAAAGCCCTATTTATTGTTTTTAATCTCTAGCAAGCCTGAGCTCATTTTGTGTTTTAGTTTTTCTGACTTTCCCCCTACATGAGTTGTTTGATTTCTTCTTTGGTGATTCCTCCCCTCCCGCTTTCCATTTCTTTTACATGTACCTTTTGAATCTTAGTTCAGTTGAAATAGATGTCCATCCTGGTTTCTTTAGACACCTCCTATTTTCCCTTCTCATTGGAACTGTTTGAAATTATGACTTCACTATATCACTTTTAAGAAACTCCCATCCCTCACGAATCTCCTTCTCTATTAGTATTCCTGACTATGGAATCACCACCAGTATTTCCCTACGTTTAGTTTTCTTAATGTCTATAATGCATATTTGACTATGCTTGGCTTCCCCTTTCCACTGTATAACAAATACTCCAGGAGAACATGGTCACTCCTACCTGCCACTTTCACCCCATTAACCACAGATGGGCAGTCACAGTATTATTAGAACATGACTATTGCACATCATCATCATCATCATCATCATCATCATCATCATCATCATCATCATCTCCTCATCTTTATTAGCTTTATTTACATCCTGCCTTTTAACCCAAACCAGGTAAAAGGCAGAGCTTAAGAATTAAAAGAAATACAACAGTAGAGCTGTTCCCAACAGCAGAACTGCCCCTAAGGGAAAGGAATCCATGATATGTGTAAATGAGGCATGGTAGTTTTGCCTTGACTCAGTACTGATAGAGCTACAAAGGTTAAAATGCAGTTAGGACTTTAAGGATACAGTCAAAGGTGCACTCAAGACAGAGATCATAGAGATCAGGAAACTGAAGCTCATGGGGAAAATCAGATCCACTAAATTAAGTCAGCTTAAACTGCCAGTTGTTGTTGTTGTTGCTGTTATGTGCCTTCAAGACATTTCTGACTTATGGTGACCTTAAGGTGACCCTACCATGGGGTTTTCTTGGCAAGACTTGTTGAGAGGAGATTTGCCATTGTCTTCCCCTAAGTCTGCACACGTGTGACTTGCCCTGGGGGTCTCATGGTTAAGCTGGGAATTGAACTCTAGACTCCAGAGTCTCAGTCCAACACTCAAACCACTATGCCACACATTACCAGTAGGGCTGTAGAGATAATGACAGCTTTGTCAATAAGAATTGCCATTCTTTTCTCTACATGACCATGCAGTTCCTGACCTGAATTCCAAGAACATACATACATAGCAGGATTGCTCTGGCCAGATTTTAAGTATCTTTATTGGACTACAGTTCACAACATCCTGCACCCAGCTTATCCACTGACTGGGAGATTCTGGGAGTTAAATTAGAGCCAGCATGGTGTAGTGCAGGGGTAGGCAACCTTTCCCCTTTAAGGGCCAAGGGACTTCAGCTCCCAGAAGCCTCAGCCATGTTGGCCAATAGTCCCATGTTGGCCAATGGCTCCTGGGATTCTGGGAGCTGAAGTCCCTCAGCCCTTAAAGGGGAAAGGTTGCCTACCCCTGGTGTAGTGGTTTGAGTGTTGGACTATGGCTCTGGAAACTAGGATTCAAATATCTGCTTGGCCACAGACCCACTTGGTGACTTTGGGCAAGTCACACACTCTTAGCCTCAGAGAAAGACAAATAAAACCCTCTGAACAAATCTTCCTAAGAAAAAATCATGATAGGTTCACCAATAGGTTGTGTGATAGGCACACAACAAGAAAAATAGCTCAAAGGGGTAAAATTCCCAAACTTTATTCCCAATTCAGTGTAAATGCTGGGCTTCTGGAAAATTCATTTATAGAGAAGGCGTTTTTCTCCACACAAATGCATTTATCACAATGATGTATTACACCAACATCATACCTTACTGTTTCCTCCTTCCACTCTTTTAATTTCCTGCTCCCATTATTAGCATAATCCACCAGGTCATCATATATAGACTGCAAAGGCACTTTTAAAAGCCTTTGCTTTATTAAGTTCTTTCAGAGCTGGCTTCTAACCAGTGGATGGTGTAACTCCAGCTCACCCTTTTTCCTTCCTAATATAATGGGCTTTCTCCAGCCTTCACTCCCCAAAACCATTTATATAATGCATCCTACTGCAGTTGATCTTATACACTCTTATTACCTACCCCATCACTAAAGTAAATGAAGGACTTGAAATTGTCACTATCTTATAAAGAAGGCTTTCTACTAAAAAAAAAACCTGGGCAAGGTTGTTTTTTGTTGTTGTTTTTGCTTGCTCTTCAAAGATAGCTGTGAGAAATTTGCAAGCATTTGGGGAGGGGAGAAATGGGGGAGAGGAAATAAGGAAATAAATTTACTGTGCTGCTGACAACTATGAACCTAGATAAATTCAGTGGAGCAGAAAATTGCATATGAGCTACGCTATATGAGCAAAACAGTACTTTATTAAATATTTGGAAAATCAGCCAGATTTTCAAAAACAGCATCTGCAAAACAGCAGGGGATTCACTGTAGAAATTTTGTAACCTCAAAGAGGATATTGTGGTTAAAAGGCATTATTTCATTTTTCCTCTGAAAGTCTGCAGTACTTATTTATACTCAGGAGGTGTTAATTTCTCTTCTTTCTCTACTCAAGGTTTCTTTAGAGTACCTATGCAAGACTAATGAACTATGGAATTGACTCAGTGGTAGACACAAGACAGACACAAATAATATAGGCTGTGAAATCCTGAGTTATAGGCTAAAAAAGCAAGTAACATAGCAAACTTTCTAAAATAAAGAATGTTTGGTTCTAGGAAATTTATCTATAGTATAGTATAAAATCCTATGAATATCCATGAATTGCTGAAGAATAGGTGGAACATAATGAAAGGAAATCTAAAAATTGCCAGAAATGTCAAACACCATTTGAGTATACTGCACAGTTATACCTGATACCCATTTTCCACATTGTGGCATTTCTTATCTTTTGTAAACCACTGTCACATAGATCAGGCTATTCAGAGAACAACTCCACACCAGTGTCACTGCTATCTAGGATTGTTGCCACAGAATTTCATCATGACAGGTCTTGAGTCCAACTTTAGTGGGAAACAGTAGGGCATAAATAAAGCTATACCACAACACACATGTACACACATATATAGGTCTTCCTAGCCACTCACAGAATATACAATTTATTTGGATTTGCTGTAACGAGACAAGGCCCACAAAAACCCATCCAAGCCTTGCAACATTTGATAAGCAATCCTTAGCCATGGCCTGGAATCTGGAGGCCTACTATTATGAACATCCAACGATCCTGGTATGACTTCTATGCATAATTACAACCACCCTTAATGTTGTATTCCCATTTTGGTAAGTCTTTCAAATTCAGACTGTGGCCAAAGTCTGGGTACTCTGCTGGACAGGCTCTACAGGAGGCCAATGCTTAGCTTTCTATTAAGAGATGCAGTAAAAGGAGAATGCAGTGCAGCAGAGCCACTTTTAAAGACTACACCAGGGGTAGGTAACCTTTCCCCTTTAAAGGCCGAGGGACTTCAGCTCCCAGAATCCCAGGAGCTATTGGCCAACATAAGACTATTGTCCAACATGGCTGAGGCTTCTGGGAGCTTCAGCCCTTAAAGGGGAAAGGTTGCCTACCCCTGGACTACACCCTGGAGCTAAGCTTTTTCAAAAATCTATCTATCCAGAAATATTTATCACTTTTCAAATTGGTCCTGATAAATTCTAAGCAAATCATATCATTTTAAGCAAAATGTTTGTGTCTATGTTTGGATTTTAATCCTTTGTTGAAAAAAAAGCTAAGAAAAGAAAAGGAAGCTACAGCAATTATTTTATATTGTAGTGCATAGTTTATTCTCTTTTTTTCCCCTAAAGCCAACTAACTGATCATACTGGAGTCTACATACAGGATGCTCCATCTAACACCCTAAATTTTCTAGAAAAGAACGGGAAAAGCAGCCATTAAAATCAGAACTATTGGGAGAAGCAGAGTGCTCAGCAGTAATACTGAAACTGCAACGTGTTCTATTAAAAACACATCCAAGTGTGAAATGCATTCATTACATATAGTCTCTAGGGACTACAAAATAGTATAAAGTAGAGGCTGTATCTGCACTGCAGAAATAATCCACTTTGGTGTCACTTTAAATGCCATGGCTCAATGCTATTGTAGTCTTGTGAAACATTTAACCTTTTCTTCAGAGAGCTCTGGTGCCACAACAAATTACAATTCCCAGAATTCTATAGCACTGAGCCATGGCAATTAAAGTCATGTTAAACTGGACTATTTCTGCAGTATGGATGCAGCTAAAGTTAGATGCCTTGTTGGGAATTTTGGGGAAAGCATTATTAAACAAGATCTGAAAATAGGAAAATAAGAAGCTGCCTAATACTTAAGTTCATTGAGACATCTGGTTAATATTGTCTCCACTGGCTGGCAGTGACTCTCCACAGATTCAGATAAGAATATTTTCCATCACTCCCTAGAGATAACAGTGATTGAGTCTGGATCTTTCTGCATGCAAAGCATGTGCTCTACCAATGAGAAACATTCCTTTCAGACCACTGGTCTGCTTGTCT